GCTTGTGGAACCACGACGGCAAAACAGAACCGTGCTCCAGCACTACGTATACGTACCGATTTTGAAGCCTGCTTGTACGATAAATACTTTGTAAGTTTTTGAACCTGACTAACCATCTAGCTAAAGCACTTTACTCCCTGTGACTGATGACAACTTCCCAGCCTGTGATGAGCTGCCCAGAAGTTCTGGGAGAGAGTAAGTAATGAAAATCTGACAGACCGAAGGGCCTATTACCTACAACGACCGCAGAAGCAGATTGCAATTTTGGTTATTTTAAATAGACAAATATCTTGAACAGATTCAGGTCAACTCGTGATTCTTTAAGATAACCCTATGACTCCATATAAATATATGCACTGATTTATGATAACACTGGCTACAGAATAAACTGAAAGACACACGAGACTTTTTCAGGCAGTGGCAAATGAGCATTGCAATGTCATATATATATAATCTAAACAAAATACCTATCTAATGTTAATTGAACAGAAATTTAGCAATTTAATTTAATGTAGTTGTTCATATTGTCCCAGAATATTTTTGTCTGGCTCTAGGCAATATCTAGATGCCATTGGAAAAGGCAAAAGAAATTGAAAATGGGATCTTCTGATCAGGGTACGGGTTTTCTTACAGTTATTAAGCGAGCAACAGAACATTGACGTGAACAATACAAAGGTTTATGAATTCAAGCTGTTACAGGTTTCTGATCGTCTCATTGATATTGCCTTCAAATAATTTCTTGTTATTTTATATAGAGATACCTTTTAGTAGTGTACTTTACAGACTTTAAGGTCAGAAGACTTTATGGATAGAAAACATTGAGAACTTTCACGATTACTAGCATAGCAAAAATGTATGCTTTACGTGTTAGCAGTAAACAGCACTCTGACAAAAGGGAATACATTTCTTACATGTATGAGAATATATCACAGAACTCAGACATAATTTGCATGCTATAGTCTGTCATACTTCTGAGAAAATGCAAATACATCCTTGCTACATAAATTATTAGTAGCATTTGATAATTTGGATTTCCAAAATTAAGTAACTTTGTATTTTTTCATTAAGTTTGGAGATCTAGGTTACAGACCTATACCCACATTTTTTAAGTTTGAATTTGCACAGACCTTAACCTTGGGATTAAAAATCTAGCTCTAATATCACACTTATGCAGAAACGTATTTCTGAGGACATAGATCCTGTTTAACAATCAGCTATTTTCAGTGAAGATTTGTAGGTTCAGATAGGCATTTTGTGCCTTTCAAAATAGCTACAGAAAGATACAGTTGAACAGCATTTGTCACATGGACAGACATGAGACTTTTTAGCAATATGGAGTAGAAAACCCCATGTGATTATTGGAGAAAAATGTTTATTTATATGTTTTATTTAAATGGGATACACTGAATTATCCAGGGAAAATAGAAGGAAAATAGGTGCCATTAAAAATAATTCTTTTCCTAGCTCATTCATTAAATACTACGCATGCTCAAATAAAGAAATAGTAACATATACCAATGTAAATATATGCCAAAATGCATACATTGGGTATTTTGATGGGCGCAGAGGTTATTTGTAGATAAAGGAAGATTTAAAAGCAAAGAATAAATTAAAAATCACAGCTGTGCCATGAGGAATAAATATTTTTTCATCAAAGCCTGTCTCTCAAGAGTTTCCAATTCTTATGTCTACGAGATGATAGACAGTTGGTTAAGCAGCTGTTATTATTTATTTCCATCTTGTAAAAGAAGCAACAACCCCCCAAAAAAAGGGGAAGCACCCTGAGATCCGTCCTTTCTGCGCTCATCAGTAAGTAGGTTTTGGACCCCATTGCTACGAGCACATTCCTCCAAGCTATTCCATGGCATTTCTGTCAAACGCAATATCCATGGCAGGCTCGTGCCCCTTTGACTTCCCAAGTGTTCAGGATTCGTATTCCAGAAACACATGTGGCTCCCAAGAACCTCTTCAGCCTTGACAGTGATAACAAGAAGGGATCAACAGTACCCCAAGTAATCCTTATAGCTCTGTCAAAGGTTCCTATGGCGCATCATAAATCAGGAAACTGCTTAGTCCCTCTGCCCCGGGCTCCTCGCTTCCTCTGGCAAGAGCTCATCCCGGTTCCCCGCTTGCACAGCTTGCCTGCGAGAGAACTGGATGATTTTCTCCTTATCTGTCTTGTTTCCAGGCTCTCCTGCTCTGTATTAGCCTCTCACGCAAGGAAGTACTTGGGAGACACTTAAAAAGAGGACGGAGCAGCCAAAATGCCCGCTGTCTAACTTCAGGTCGGGAAAGCACCTCGCCAGTAGCACCGTGGGGATGGAGGGAGAAATCACAGCTCTGTCCCACGCCCCACAGCTGCCGGAACAGAAAAGGACAGACAGCGAAGGTGGCATTTTGCATTCATCCTGCAACAAAGGTACACCCTTTCCAGGAAGGAGCAATCATACAGACATCATCCACTTCTGAACGGTGCAAGCAAGCAGGCTTTTATCCTGTACTTCACGGCAAAGGGATTGCGAGGGGGGAAAAAGAGGCTTATTTGGCCTTTGCAGCAAGCCTGGGACACAAGGCAAATGCCAAGGGCCAAATCCTCGGGGAGGGGAAGCAACATTGAAAAAAAAAAAATCAGAAAAACTAGCAGTTTAGAGCAGGGAATAGGAATTAATAAGAGACTTTTACATTTTAATTGTCACAGAAATTAAAAGCATATCAGAAAAACATAAACTGGAAGGAAAAAAGAAATCCCCTTTCCCCATTTTTCAGCATTTTTTTAACGTCCTTTTTTCAAAAAGTATATTCCTTCCTTTTCCAGCAGAAGAGGGCTAGAGTTAAAAGAACAAAATAAAAATAAAACAAAAATAAAATGCACACAGAAATAGAAGCCGAAAGAAATTCAAGGTGGTTACATCCCCCACAAAATGGCGAGGAAATTAAATGTCTGCCAAGCCTAGTGTGAAGTAAAATTTCTTCATACACTGATGTGCCACTAAAAGTTACTCCATTCGTTTTGAAGGGTCTTCCCCATGTTTCAATCAGCTTGCATGTAAGCCTATTCAAAAATTCTTGAGGCTTCTAAGGGGAAAGAAAATATAATTCAGGACAGATACCGCCCATAACTGATTACAAAGTTCCTGCATTGTATGAAGCCATCCCCGTTGCCCTACTTCTGCTGGGTTTAAGCCCGGTTTGTTTTCTTTTAAATGCCCAGCAAAGGCACAATGCTTTTCTCTTGTTGGGAAGACGTACTGCTGGTACCAATAGCACTTGAAAAATGCATAGTTCATGAACAAACACAGAGCTCCGGGTGGCACATTAGTGGTACCTGGGCATAGAGGCTGCCTGAGGCTCCTGCAGCCCTCGGGTGTGTGCAGAATACGCTGACATAATGAATACAGTTTGCGTTGAAGGTAACATGGTTTATTTCTTCATGATATTCAGATTAAAATGTATCAATGTATTTAGCACAATACTACATTTTAGGACAAAATCATCAGTGCTTTGCAAGTCTTCATAATGTTTATTCATTATAAATAGTAAATATTTACTGAACTTTTTACATGAAAGACGTTTTTTTTTTGTTTTCTTTTTTTTTATTTGTTTTTTTTGTTTTTTGTGGTTTTTTTACAACACGTATGTTGTTGTAGAGGCTGCAACACAAAGATAATATTTCATTTTTCCATCACCCTTAAGACCAATGTGTGAACTAACCTCTGTACTGAACCTAGTCTAACTCACTACTTCATAGTCCTTAACGCTAAAAGGAATGTATTTGTGTTCTGCCTCCCTCTTTGTTCCAAGAATAGAGAGAAATAAATAAACACCGCCTTCCATCTTCCTCTTCCTCTCAACATCACAAAACACAAATTTATTGACATTCTAAAATGTCACAATGCAAACTTCTTGTAAACCTTGGTTTCTATAATCATATTTTCTATATTGGATATCGCTGTATAATTTAAACAAATGTGTCAAATACAGGTCCATCTCTGTCCATGTCCTGTACATCACTAAAAAAAGTAAACGTAATCATTCATTCGTATTGTTTCCTGAAAACGACCTCTAAATCATGATTAGCAAGCTGGATTTTAGTTGTCCAGCAGACTGCAACATTTCTGTATTTTATCGTCAGGAATTATGCACTGCAAAAATAAAAGTACCTGCAAAAATATAGTTCTGATTCTATCTATATGACTTTGGATGATCCCAAAGTTTGTGTGAGGTACACAGTATTGCACGTTGCTAGGCAGTCGTGAAAAATCAGTCGCGTTGTTGATTTTTTTTTTTCCTCCCACGTTTGTTCGAAAAGGTACAACGGACTAGGAAAACTCCACATACGAAAAGGTAACATCTGCTTTTCATGTTACACAAGATCTCGTCTCTTGGTAAAGCACAACTTGTAAGTGACATTTATTGACAACCTGATTACAAAAGCATGGTAAGATAACCGATAAGTTGCTCGGCAAGTCTTTCGCACTCATCCTAGCTTCCTATGGACCGTGACATTTCCTCTTGATGACAATTTCCAGTGTGTAAAATGGAAGAGGTTCTCCTGCCCTTGCTTCAGAAACTGAGCAGTTTTACAGTTAGGCAAAAGTCAGCACTGGATGTCAGATGAGTCAGAGTACGCAGAGCTCAACTGCTCTAAGTTTCAAAATGTTCCATTTGTCCCAATCAAAGCACATTAATTTCAACAACAAAAAATGGAATGTTTTGCCAGGCAGTGATATTAAATACTGCTCTGTTTTGTATACCCACTCATAATGAACCATGTCGCATTTATTTATTCATTATTGCTTTTGGCCTTTGTCTTCTGTGTAGCTTTATCCAGCCTTCAAAAGTCTACTAAAAGCTATGACTGGAGAGAACATAACAAGCCTGCTTCTCTCAGTGGGGCTGCCCCAGTTTAGGCTGCAGTGTGGTGAGAAGATCCCTCGTATCCGAGCCTTGGAGTGAGACTGGAAAACAAGACCAGCTTTAACTTGAAGTGGACAGTTCATTTATGCAATATCTGGCTTCAGATAATGAAAGGCACCTGCAAAAAAGCAAAAGAAGCTTTTTAAGTCATGCTGTGACAACTTCACAGCATGGGGCCATGCCAACTACAGGTTGACATTGTCATATTTAATACTGATATATCAAAGGAAAGGGACTAATATTTTTATTCCTAGGACAAGTTTGACAAAACTCTATGTATCTAGGATTATATACTGTAATGATTCTTGAGCTGACCTCATTAAGAACATGTGTTTCTAATAGTGGAATGCCAGTGGTTATTTCATTTTGGACAACCCTTATGTTTTACCTAATGGCAATCAGGTTTCATGTCTCAACAATTAATAACATCAAGATGTTGTTGACATCACTTAAGAAAATAATTATGCAGCAGAAATCTTGCTCGAACAATCAGCTATCTCACCAGTGCACTCCACTCGGCTTTGGAGAGAAGTGGTAGTCGGCCATCAGGATCTCTGCTCATAATTTTCTTTGTTACGGACAGAAAGTACAGACCGTTGATAAACGGGTACGGTACTGCACTTCACGGCGCAAATGTCCCAATACTCACTTTGTCCGTATTGTCCATATTGGTAGCCTGTGACAGGGTCCATGCTGTAACCCGTGGTGCTGTAGGTCGGTGGGCAGTAGGACTGGGACGTAGGCAGGCTGTCTAAACTCTTCATATGATCTAACCGCTGGCTGCAGCTGGCTGAGACAGTGGTGGTGGGCTCCAGGCCCCCAGTTAACGGGGACAGGGCATAATCAGTTTGGGGCTGGTGAGGCACACCGCCGTGGTTAGTCAAGAGTCCCATTACCTAAAAGGTAGAATAATAGAAAGAGTTAAAATATGTGAAGAACTGTCTTGCTTACAGAGCCACAGGAGTTCTCAAGTCTGTCATTTGATTTCCTAAAGTAGGTAGACTTGGTATTCAAACCATGCTTTGAGTACCTAATCCAAAGAGGAAGTGGAATTTGGTTGCATCATCCACCAAAATAAAAACTGATGGCTAACCACCAATAAAAAGCGATACCAAGGGCAAATAAGGAAAAATCACTTTTAAAACTTTTATGATTTTAGAGTGCCTGATCCCATGCCCCAGCTGGGATCTCTGCAGATGTTTATTCCTTCAGGACTCAATTATAAGAGATTAAAAGGCAAGTAGTGGCTCTTTAGCCACGCTCTCCTGCACAATCTACAAACACAGAAAAGCTGGGAAAAAGCTCACACAATTTTTTTTTTCCCCCCAAGATCAGCAGTCATTAAAATGAAATTAATTTGGAGCGGATCACAGCAATGCTACCGATGGAAGTAACAAAGAATCCCAGCACAACATGAATACATGGGGAAGGGGCAGAGCAGCCGTAACTCCTGCTGCTGCATGCCCTCTGTGCTGGCCTGGGAAGAAATGAATGTGAGAGAGTAAAGCGATGGTCGTAACACCAGTTCCCAACTTCATCTGCTGAGTTAGAGGACACAACAGAAATGGTCTGGTCTGGCGTTCCAGACCGGCTTCAAGTCAGCTGTGACCCCCTTAATAAGCTGCTTGTACATGAACAGTTATGAAATCAGCAGTCAAGATTAGTTGAAAAGAGATTAGTGGAAAATACGTGCTTGTCCCTATAGAAGCCCAGTCCTCTAGGCCATAATTTCCAGTAGAAAAGCAAACAAAATTTCAAAAGCAGCTGTGCTTTCAAGCAGGAGCGAAGGAAGCTACGGTGATAAGTTATTGTACAAAAATCACTCTCGCTATAGGTTGGTGTGCATTTCCTTTCCCGGCACATCTCTATAGCACATTCTGAAAACAAGTACTACTGAGAGAATTGCTTGATTCTGCTGGAATAAGTTGCACTTCAAAACCTGAGAAACAGCTTGCAGCCTGTAACGGATGGATGGCGTACAGCTTCTGCCAAAACAGCCTATTCTGATAATATACAGGTTGTTCTTCCTCCAAAAAGGCATTACAAATATCTGACACATGCTGTGAGATAATCATTTTGCTTTACTGCACTTCTTACCGTAAACTAAAAAGAAACTATTAAAATTGGAGTCTATTTTGTAAAGAACAAATCTGTGCTCATATGAACAGGTCTGGTTCCTGAAGCTCTGATGCTCCTTCTTGAATTGTATTTATTTTCCATCGCAAAAGAAAAGGGTTTATTATCGCAGGGAGCTTGTGGTCCCAGCTCTGAGTTTTGTTTGTGTTTTAATGAATAAATGAAATGAGCCCCAGGGATCATGATTTAAGCAGGAAGGAAGACCCATCCAGGTCTTACACGTCTGACAAGGAAAAGAGCAAGAGGCACAAGCAGAGTACTTCAAAAAGAGACACCCGATACCTGCACTGAGAACACAAAACATCTCTGCATCGGATGCACCCAAGACATCTCACCGAAAAAAAAAAAAAATGCTGAGAAAGAGGTTCGGTTACTACTTACAGCACTAGAATGTTCACTTGTTTCACTAAGCAGAAAAACAGGAGTTTAACTGACGGTATTTTCTGAATGTTTCACAAACAGAAGTTTTCATGCAAAAAGAAGTTTCAAAATAGATCCAAAGACTTCATTTAGATACTGAAATCTTATAACTTTTAAGTTAAAAACACAAAAGAAGAATTTGGATTCAGGCTACAAGATATTTTCTATTTAATTCCTATAGTCTTTTCAATGCACAAAACATATTAAAAGAATTTGATGTTAATAAAAAACAATTAAAAAAAATCTCTGGAATTACAACAGATTGAAAAATCATGCTATTTGCACAGCAACTTGCACAGCATTTTTTCCCAAAACTCCCTGAAAGCTGAAATGACTGGGCCCTCAACTTTTTCTTCTAAAAATTGGTTCCTGAAAAGTATTAAAATTTCTAGAGATTATTTTAGTAAGTTTTTCTACTTTAGGAATTACAAACATTTTTCTTGTACCTTTGGTCCTGAAAATCTAGCATGCTTAATGATCTGACATTGCATCAGCAGGATACAATATTAGAACCTATGTTCATTTAGGTTATATTAATCCTTGTCCTTTAAAATTAACACTAATAGAGTTAAAAGAAGAGAAAGATCCACAAAAAACATAGCTGAACTTAAACATTTACATTGAAAGTTACTACTCTGGAAAATATTTATGTTGGCACAAGTATCATGGTTTTGACTACAGTTTAAAACACACAGGGTTTATCAGAGATCTGAAATAAGCGCACAGCCCTTTCCATTCCCGCGTAGCACCTATGTGATACCGATATTTACGGGGCTTTACCGCGTTCTGTTCCAAGTTCAAGGGCAGGGAGAACGGGCTGGGCTCGCGGCGCCCTCGCAGCCCCGCTGGAGTCCCGACGGCAATCTTCTCCGCCTGAGCGCCCTCACATCACACGCTGCCTCTACCTGGACTTTTAGGACCAATTGCTGAGTTGGACAAATAGCTATTTTACCAACTACGTCCTTTAACTAAACTTTCTTCTGCTCAATATTTTCAACAGAATAGAGCCCAAGAACAACATTATTTGGACTTTGCCAACAAAAACAGCGAGCTCAGAAACTTTGGGATTGGAAGTTATTTTAGAGTTAGAGATTAGCCTTGAAATTTAAACCTGGATCCAGACATGATCTCAAAAGCCACTCAAATTTTGGTAGCATCTATATTTGGAGAGAGATTTGTCTTCTCTGACAAACTAGAATTAGCATTTGGTGAGATTTACTTTAAAAATTTTAAATTAATCAGATAAAGATGCCTAAAGACTTGTATTATTAAGCGCATATGCACCTAATAGGCACTTTGGAGCAGAACTGACACAGCTCTCTGTCTCTGAGGTGGAGAACGCTGAAGTCTGAACGGTAACCATCTTCTCAGAAATATCTTCTTCAGAGGCCCTCAGAATCATCCTGCAGTTGATTAGCATCTAAATAATTAGATTTTTGGTCATGCCTGTTTTGAAAGCTATAAGGGAAGTAGCCTCAGGGCAGAAGTCTTTCATACGGTATGTGCCATGACCTTATCACCCATACAAGGAGTTACAGGAAGGGCATGGCTGACTTTCACCTAATCAATTAGAAAGCCATTAACGGGCCACGTCTGCAAGATGCTCAGCACCCTCAGCTTAGCGGTGTACCAGAGACACACGAAGATCTGGATTTTGCGACTCGGATCTGCTGCTGGTATGAAACAGTACAGTTCTAAACAGGTAAACAGATCTGATTGGTTTACATAATTAAGGAAGACAATAAATTTATTCAATCCATGTACCATCCAAATTGCTAGAAAATATGTACTTCCCTCTGAATTACTTTGGGAAAGCCGAAGTAGTAATTGTCAGCCTCACAGATCCGGATCCCAAAGAAGTTGAAAGAAAAATCGAGGGCTGATCTAACACCTAGGACCAAATGCTGCTGTAACGATTCAATTTATTTTAGAGAAGAACTCCTATAAATGCAAAAAAATCAGGCTGTAAGTTTTCTGGCTACACATATTTTGTTCTCATTTTTTAAAAACACACGCAGAAATGCTGGCGCATAGCCTTTGAGCTCATACAATAGAAGATGGTATATATAATTGATAAAATAGTTCCATTCTATTGGAAAACAAAGGCATGATTAGGAGTAAGCAAAGAGAACACAGTGAACTGTAACAACCAAACTCTACAGAAAAGTTTTCAGAGAGCATATCCCAAGCAACCCAAAATATTCACTAGGACAAATCCCTTGCTGGAGGGGTCAGCACCGCATCACTAGCCGAGGATATGATCCAGAAAGAAGAGGAGAAATTGAATGAGGAAAGTCTTAAAGACCATGTACGCAACATCTGGTCCATTATCGGCTATTAGAAAATACTTCTATTATCAACAAAATAAAGGCCATTAAACTGAGAAAAAGCTTATTCTATTTAAATGAAACACTATGCCTGTTAATGTGGTTGGTATTTTAGGATGTGGGACCTACCATAGGCACAATAAAATTCTCATATGTTTTAATTCATTTACGCATGCCTGCATTTAATATGCTTTGTGACCATGTCTGCAATTAATATGATTTATGAGAAAGGAACATGTGCAATATTTTTGGGTACAGTGATACAATTTTTTTTCTCCTCCTGTGAATGAAAGATTTAATGAAACAGCTCAAGGAAAATTGTTGGCAGTTAACGTATTAAGTTGAACTGACAGAATCATGAGTAAACTTTAGTGGAGTTAATGATATCCTCTTATCTGACCCTGACACATTTGCAGCATGTAATTTACAGAAGCTCTGTCCAGGGAATCTTGACAAATGCTCCTAACGATGTCAGGGCAATGTTCCATTCTAATGTAAAACAGATGTGGGTCAGATACCCTCATTCATCACTAACACTGAAAATTTCAAACTCCTTCCGAGATGAATGGCGTTACCTGCTGTTAACTCTTTTCACTGTAGAAAAAGCTCTCAAAACCAAAATATTGCACAAGAAAGAATACAGAAAGGATGGTTCTAATGCATCAGAATGAGAGATTTAGAAGATTAAGTGAAATTAATTAACTACATGGATCTATACCTATAGGATCCTAGAACCACGTTGCCGATTCATTTTATATAGATGAGTATTTCTGCCAAATATAGGAAGAAACCCAACAGAAAGCATTTTTGTGCCAAACGGCAAGCACTGGGAACCACATACTTGGCTAATGAAAATAGGAGCAAATACACTGACTTTGAACATCTGATGATCTGACCTTCTGCATCCTCATACCAAATGAGACCTCATGCTGATTTCACACCACTGGACATCAGTGGTAGCTACACTGAAATGAGAGAAGGTGCACTGGTGTACATTTAGGGTAATTAAGAGG